TCAAGAGATTTCAGCAATTATATTAACTGAAATAAAGCATCATAACCAATCAGCATCCCAATCTAAACAAGGAAAAGAAGGCCAAGGCATGGATAATATGAATGGATAAAAAGAGAAGAGTAGAATGTGGATAATGTGGATAGACAATGTAATGAAATTTCAAAAATGATGTGATTTTGAGATAAACAAGATTTTTTGAAGTGCATAACTTTTGATGCAACAATTTTGACAAGGTTAGAAGACATCTAGGCTATAAAGCATTTGCTTCAAGAATTTATTTCTTTGCAACTCCACCAATCCAATCTTTAGCATATGAGACAATGTTTACTTCCATGTCAAGGTGGACAAATTGAATCTATCTCCTCCCTATGAACTAACCTTTAATGTTCAGAAGATCGATCAGAAACTACAAAGCTTTTAGCTATGCTAACTGACTTGGACTTGCTAAAGAAAGGATTTCTCTATCTCTTTTTTTTTTTTTTTTTATATATATATTCTTTGACAGAGAAAGCTTCAAACCCTCAAATAAAGACTTTGTATAGGCTTGTAACATGGCTTGGGGTTATGCTATTGTGAGTGAAAGAAAGGGTAAAGCCTCAAAATCAAATTTTCCATATATCCCCCTCACATTTCTCTCTTCACGACCTCGGTCATTCATGTGGGTTAATAAGAAGAAAATCATCTCAACTTTTATGAACTTGGATGATTGCCTTTTTCTGGATCAAATAGGGTAATCAAAGGACAATGTTAATCATTTGGGGTAGAGAAATAGAGCCTTTCATCATTGGATCTTCAACTTTTCAAGTTAAGGAAACATTTAATTTGCTAGGTCACCCTTTTCTTCCCTCTTTTCTTCTCTTTTTTTTTCCTTTCCTTTTTTTTTTTTTTAGAAAATTCATGATCAAACTAAGAGCTGTTAAATTCAATGATAAGGACTTTTATTGGCTTGTAATGTGGCTTTGGGTTAAGTTATCAAAAAGAAGAATATGAAGGGTCAAAATTGCTTTCCCTAGGTATTTTCCCTTCACAATCACTCTTCCCTCCCCAAGTTCATGATGTAGGTAAATTCACAAGAGAATCATCTCGGCTCTTATAATTTGGATGATTGCCTTTTCTTTAGGCTCAAAGGGGTGACTAAAGACAATATAAAGTGTTTAGGATAAACAAACATGGCCTCTCATTATTGAATCTATTAGCTCTTGAATTTGATCATGATTTGCTATCCTTAGTCTAATGATTGCCATCATTTTGATTTCTAAAGCTTTAAAACCCTCAAACAGGACTTTTCCTTGGGTTGTAATGGGGTTTGGTTAAGGTTTTATGAAAAGAATGGCAATTAAAGGCTCAAAATTACCCAACATGCCCCCAAGTTACATGCCTTAGCTAGGAGCTTTCCATTTCAACCCTTGCCATGTGACATTTGCATTGCCATTTCTCTTTTATCTTCTTTTTCTTTTCTCTTTTCTTTTTTGTTGAGCTTTCTTTTGTTGAGCTTTTGCCCTCTTTGAACTTTGTTCCTTTTTCGAGATTTCTCTACATGGCTCTTAGCAATATGATCTTGCCCCCAATTAGGCATGTAACTATATTCTCCGGTTTTGGGATAGGTATGAAAGAAAAGGCTCACTTTTTCTTTTTAGGCTCAACTTGGTTGACGAAAGGATGACTCTTTTGGGTAAAGTGTTTGGGAATTAGGCTCATGAAAAAT